AGGGGCACCCTTCTTTTGCTCAGAGCATAGAGCGCATGTATGATCCTTACGAGTTCGGGATGGCACGGTGCCACGGGCATCTGCTGCGTGCTACATCCTGAGAAACCATAAAGGAGTCGACGCTGGGAGAAGGGACGATTAAGTACCCGAACAAGTTTAGTGGATGGTGCAAAGCACCTGACTACGGACTTCCCAGATGAATACCGACGAGGCGCGAGTTCCCCGAGGAATACTCTGAACACGCCCCTCACTGGCTCAGCCAGCGAAAGGACGGTGATGCCCCACCCGCCACGGTATATCAGGCTGAGGGCACTGCCCCAGCCGGCGGTGGACCCCCCACTCAGGGAACTTGGCTTCATGCAATCACCCCGTCTTTCTGGGATACCGATGCGACGCATAATGAGAATTGGCAGTATGTTGTTGTCTCCAATGGACGGGTAGTGACCCGCCTTAAGTATCGCATCTGTCGCGATGGAACTCTTGTGACGACAGGGCATGCACGTTTCGATGATATTTCTCGCATCGTGCAACTGCAAGTGGTCGAACAAGTTGGTAGAGACGACGGACCGTATATGATGTGGAACTTGATACTTTCACAAAGGTGGTTTGCGGGAGAGTTTGCTTTCTCGTCTGATACAATCAGAACGTGGGTCTTCTCCGATGAACAAGTGGCCGATGTAGGGCAAAGTACACTGTCCGAAGAAGAACAGGCCCTCATCACGCGGAGAATGTGGACAGACGATGGGAGGTACATTTGCGCTCGATACCATGCCGTGAGGGCTGGTTTTCGGATGCTGTTTGCAATGCCTCACTCCTGTCAGTTACAAAACAAACGTCAGAGCGAATTACTTACAACCGCCTGGGGAAAATGGATTGGTTGCTGCATGGACGACACTAGGACTGACTCCACGTCTGGATGCCCCCCGTGAGGGGAGAACCGATCTAATATGATTTCTAACAGGCCAAGAGCAATGAGCAAGAGCTCTGCTGATGCATTGGACAACTTGAGCAAGGCCGAGCAACGTCAGCGCAAATGAGTTCATCAGGAACGCAGACGTTCCAAGATGGCTTTGGCTGGTGGTGCGTTCATGAACTCGCAGCCAGGGACCGTTCCTTCCCGGCGTCCTGACAGCGCCTCGGCACAGCCGCCGGCGCGTCACGAGTCTTCCTTCCAGTATCTTGAACCCCTCAAGCTCAGATTCATTGACTGGCTAGACCACAAGCATGGGGACGCTCGCCCCACAGCTGCCCAGCGGTGGCCACTGATTTGGACACCACATCTGGGCCAATATGCTCGTCCTATGAGATGTTATGCACTTGCAGCTTTCGATTGGGAACATGTTAGTGCAGAACAAGTTCGACCGCAGACGGGCTGGGACCAGTGGGAACGAGAGATGGAAGAATCCATCAGTTCTAGTGTTGACGGAGAACTTGGAAGCAGCGAGCCGAGCGTCTGCATCGAACCAAGTAAGAGACATAGATTCCCGAATCGTTGCTGAACTTCACCATCGGCCAAGCCGCAATGATGAAGTCATCTCGGAACGTGAGGAGAAGGCAGCGATGTCAGACAGCGCATGCAATAAACATATCGCCCAGCGGCGTCCACTGATTGTTCCGAATAGAACGCTGCCCTTCGACTTGATTTGAGTTCGATGTCTGGCTGCATGTGTGGCTTTAAGTATAACAATGACACGTGCGAGAGGCCAGAAGTTATCAAAGTTACAACACCATTTGTTCTTGAATACTTATCGACTGTTCTAAGTACGAAGTACTGTGCTTATCGACTGTTCTAATACTCGATAAAGACATCATTCATGAAGTACCGCCGGGATTATCCGAGCTGGTGGATAGATTTTAAACCAACCGTTTGATCGAATCCCCACCCATGGAAGATGGGAACGAATTCTGTTAGCTGTACGCGAAGTCATAGTTTGTTCATGTCCGCGGGAATCCACGTTGCGTTTCTGGGGTGTGAAGTACTGCGTAAGCCGCAACCCACCCAAATCATGCAAGATGCTTGTGCTTTGGATTGTCATATCCGATGTGCTGTAGAAACAATTGACTTACTTCATAATTGGATCAACGGATGAGGAAATGTAGCGTCGGAGACCGCGCGACGGAATTGCTCAAGTACCCAAGAGGCTATGGTGTTCATGCACACTTCTACGGAGTTTCGATTTAGTGTCAAGTTTTGCTTTGCCAGCTGCCTTTTTGGGGTCTTCGGCACTGATAATGCCATTGGGATTACGACTTGTTTTAAAACAAAAAAAAAGGAGAGTGGCCCAGCCAACTCTCCAACCGAGACAATCCCAGCCGAGTCGCCAGCAGACGCTGCAACCCCAGTTGTTGAAGGCAACGCCCCGAGCGGCACCGCCGCCCCAGGACAGCGAACTCAGCCACCCTCTCGCCCAGCATCGCGACCGAGGTGCCAGTGTGGCAGGCAGTCTTATCGGGCCCCCACTATGCACCTGCGTCTGCCGGCCCAGCCGCGTCGGGCACCAATACTGGCTGGATCGATTATGACAGAATCCAGTCGTGGGCGGACAAATCCTGGACTGATGAGCCCACTCCTGAAGGACTGGCTGTAGAGCCGCTTGGCGGCCGCGCGAGCGATGGCGGCGGTCCCGGGCCGGCCATAGACGGCGTCTACGACGCGACCGTCGGCCACGAAGACAAGAACGAGAATGGAGAAATTCAAGGGTACTATGTACATGTACCCAGGTATCAGAGAGCCGCCGGTCACCGCAAAACGCGGCAATGGTTTAGTCTGGACGAGTACAATGACAAGTTCCAGCGTGACTCTGGGATGCCAAGTACCTTACCAGAGCCCCCACCGCCGCCCACGCCAAAGGCGAGACCGCCGGAGAAGGGCCAGGGCAGGAGTGAGCCAAGTGGCTGGAGCTCGAGCAGAAGAGAGGACAGCTCCTCCAGGAATCAGAACCAGTGGCGCTGGAGCAACAGCGATCCCTGGGACGACTCTCGTGAATGGAGAGGTCGCTGGAGAAAGTGATGCAGCGCAATGGAACCAGCACGACAAAGTCGATGCTGGTCCGCACTACTTCGTGGAGCGGGCGCACCAGGTGTGCACGGGAATTGTGGCCTGAGCTGGAAATATTAGCCCAGGCGGGGAACGTCGGGTTTCTCCGGCCTTCCGCCCCCTGGCGACCACCGCTGAGCGGTAAAATGCTTTTGGGGTTCGCTCCGGTGGCTGTGCATATGCACAGGCCGGTTGGGGGGTCGGGGCGGCTCTACGGACCCCGCCGCAGGGGGAGTCAATGCACCCCTTCCGCACGACCCATATTTCGCCCTGCCTGCTCTCTCTCTCTTTGCGCGCGCTGTCTGCTCGCTGTACTGACTGACATCTTCTGCTCCCGCAGCTATACTACTTGTCTCTAGGAGCGAGCCTGCGGCGCGCGCGTGCGTCGGCCGGCGGGCCGGCCTCGTTCCTTTAGTGCTACCTCTGTGCATGCTTGACGGCGCTATCCCTTCTTACCCATCCCATCTGCGGAGCCCACTGACCATGAGATATCATCGGAACATGTTGCAGGGATTATGAATATCCGGGCAAAAGACTGCCTTTCCAAGTTTGGGTTGTTGCAATCCCTTATGCAGCTCATATATAGTGAAATTGTTTGTGCCCACACGTAGACTATCGCCAATTGGAGTTTGAGTTGCTGGCTGTATTTTTGGATGTCGCATTGACCATTCCACTGTCCCGAAATAGTCTGCCATGATGTTTGCGCGTTCTGCGGTATCTAACCGCGTTCATCTGGATTTTGAAGGCAGCATATTTGACATATTAGGGTTTGCGTGAGAATCGTATTGCCCCCGAGCACCTCCACCAACACACACACACATATATATATATATACTTGTGTGTATATATGTATACGTGATTATATATATATATATATATATATATACACCCAGCCAAGTTTTACGGTCGTGCTTGCTAGTTTGCGGATCATGTTGTTGAATGTTTGTTCTGATTTGACGATGTGCTTACAATTGTCCACTCAAGTCGAGCGTATGGTGGCTTGTCCATGGGCGTCGGGGTAGGGCCGCCTTCTCCAGTAGTCAGTAGTGTAGTAGTGTGGACGCTGCTTATTGAAAGGCTTGCTCAACATCAGGTGCTGCATCATCGAGTTCACATGTTTAAACCTCTGCGCGGGCAGCGCTGGTGGAGTCTCTGGGGGATGCACGAGTTGCGCCAAAATCCTTCAGCGATCCTTTGTCGTGATGCGTTCCCTTCCGAGCCCTTCCCGTTTGAAACTCGATCGAAATATCAACTATTGTAAGAAAGTGTTGGCTGTTTAATGGTTCTTCCTGGCACGTCCAGAAATCCAACACAGTACGTGATCAATGTTAGCGAAGGTGGAGTCGGATGTGCTTGCCATCGGAGGGACGCCAAGATTACGGCAAGATGTTGTTGATGCGTCCAGGTGGTCGACGAATGTGTTAGTAATCGTGAGGTCGCATGCGATGCAGGACTCGATGAGCAATTGCTTGAGTTCGATGCCACGTCGCATCCGTCGTCTCTTGTCGCCCTGCGGCAGAACCTGGCGGAAGTAGACGGCAGTGGATCCGCAGGCGGAATGGTGGCCGGAAGCAGAAGTGAAGTGAGGCGTCCGCAATTTTGGATTCGGGGGTTCCGGAATCGACCATGCGGGCCGGGGAGGGGGGCGGGAGGCGGGGGGGGACTTCGAGACGGAGGGGATGTGATAGGGGAGGGGGAGGGTAGATGGACCAGAGCGGCGTGGGATGGAAGTCAGTCAAAACCAAGAGCTAGCATGCAGTGATCGCTCAGGGCTGCCCTTCCTGCCTTGCCTCATCCTTTCCATTCTTTATGGTCGCGCGTCGGTGTTCAACACAATCGCGCAAGTGTCTTGCATTTTTCTTTTGTGTCCTTGTTATGGGTGTTGCCTGGAGGGGCGGGGGGGGATGTCCTGCCGCACTTTGATTGCGCTCACTGCCTTGATTGCGGTGCTCTGGTTGCCGAGGCGGCGGCTGCCATCGGCAAGCAGAGTATCCAGCGGCTACCACTCTGGCTGCCAAGGGCAGTGGCGCCATCGGCGCTCCGCCCAGCTTGCGGCAGGAAGCCATGGCGGCTTTTGCAGGCTCTGGGGCGTGCCACGAAACCTTCCGTTGGGTAGATCCTTGTATAGATGCGGGCATGGTTGCCGGATAGTTGTTTCTGTTTACGTCTGTATAGCGCAGCCCCCAACCAGCACCCGCCGATTCTCCACTGGATGCAAGCACGAACGAGGAGGAAGCGACATGAGCGGGGGTGCAAGAGGATGCCATGGAAAAGCGGACGGCGTGTAGCAGTTGGCTTGCACTTCGTTTACCCAGTGTATATTCGCAGCGTTGTCTTTCTAGTAGTCCCGGCATGTCGATTCCCCTTCCCCTTTTTCCATTCTCCCACGGTGCCACCTGGCCGCCCGACAGCAACCAGATGTGTGCCCCTCCATTCTCTACCAACGAAGCGCAACACAGCGTCGACGTGTTTCATTCACAAGGTGGCGGCTCGTTTGCCAATCATATTGCACGGTTATATCTAATTTTCATTGCATGCGGACAGCCACGGGTCAACCACGGGACAATCATGGGACACCTCTCGCGACAACCACGGGGCAGCCCGCGGGACAGCCCACGGGACAGTCCACGGAACAGCCTACAGGGGCAGCCCACGGGACGACCCAAACCAATCGGGCAACCACGAACCAACCCGTGGGACAACCACGAAACAGCCCACAGGACAACCCGCGGGACACGCACAGGACAACCCCGACTTGTCTTCGCTCCCGCGGCACGGGAGCATGCAGATGCTACACGATTTGGCCCTGCGCACAGCCAGCGCACCGTCGTCTTCGCGCAGCGCTGCCTCGCCTTGACGCGCGAACCGAGACCGAAAACGAATTCCCGGTTGGGGTTACGTTGTTTTCGCCCTCCGCCGTCATATTTGGCACAATAATGAATTACCAAGTGGCCTCTAGACTGGAAACGAAGCATGCGGAACTCACCAGCAGACGCAAGCCGAACGCGACAACCTTCGTGCAAATACAGTCGGCTTGACGAGCATGCACCATACGTGCATGGCTTTTGAATTGGACGGGCTGGCGGAGGCGGGCGCGTGTACGATGCGCGCTCGTGTTGTTGCGTATTGTTTGGATTCGTATTGTGTGTATGTGCGCGAGTACGTGTTTGTTCTGCCATCATAGACTTGTTACCACGTGTTCGTCTTCGCATGTGTTACGCATGGGGGCTGCTTGCACCAGCGCGTCGGAGAAAAACATGTGCGTGTTTGTGTGGATGTGTCAGTTCTTGCGCGTGTGTAATTGCGTGCGCGTGTGTTTACGCGCGCTTGCTCAACATGTTCTACGCCGCGCCGCCACGCGCTTGGCCGCAATGCCAAACAATGTTTATGTGTGTGTATGTCTGTGCGTCTATGTGTCTGTGTGTGCTTGTGTGTGCTCTTGTGTGTGCTTGTGTGTGCGTGTGTGTGTGTGCGTGTGTATATGTGTGTGTGCGTTTGTGTGTGTGGTGTGTGTGTGTGTGTGTGTGTCCGGATGTGTGCGTGTGCGTGTGTGTGTATGTGCATTTGCGTGTGTGCGTTTGTGTGTGTGCGTGCGTGTGTGTTGTGTGTGTGTGTTCGCGCCCGCTTTGGCTCAATCAGTAACTCTGGCATTCCGTTACTGTTCCGTGTAGGGATTTGAGTGCATTAGTCACACATGGTTTGGCGTTCGGGATCCCTCCTGCTCGCATCCGCGCTGCTGGCTGCTGGCCCAGCCGCCGGTCTGCAGCGCCTGACGGACGAGGAGGATCCGCTGGCGCTGGCGCGCGTGATCCGCGACGAGATCGCGTCACCGGAGGACGAATACGACATTCCGTTCGAGATCGCGCTGACGCGCGGTCAGCTTAGCGACGCCGAGGACCCCACGGGGCAATTGCTCGCCAATAGTGAGGGGCAGCAGTCGGCGCAGTGCGAGCCAGAGAAGCGCGCCAAGGTTGCGGAGGGCTTCCTCGAGACCTTCAACAGGGATTACAAGCCCAGGTTCGCGGCTGCCTTCAAGGGGGTCAAGGAATCGGCGTACCTCACTGTGGGTGATTGGCGTTTCAAGCAGATGTTCCGTAACTTTATGGTGCATGCCCACAACCTGACTTGTGGCACATCGGACCACATCGTGGCCGTGAACGTCGGACTGGACAAGGCAAGCTATAATGAATGCCAAGCTGTTGCGAAGGGTATCGTCCAGCCCTCCAACGTTGGGTCAAAGGGCAAGTTCGAGCTCCGCTGCATCGACATTTCGGGGTGGCTGCCGAAGGAACTCTTCGCGGAGTCGGCAGCTCAGGCGTGGTCTTGTGCTTACAATATGGTGTTGTGGACCAAGCCGCATATCATTCAGGCTGCCGTCGAGGCAGCAGAGCAGCCTGTCATGATGATCGACACAGATGTGATCCTCCATCAAAATGTGCTGAAGATCGCGCCTGGAGTGTTGGCGGCATGCAAAGGTTGCATTGCAATTACGGGTCGTGAGTATGCGTCCGAGCACAGGCAGAACACAGGGACCGTGTACGCCGGCAAAGCTGGCTTGCCCTTGCTGAGGGAGTGGTCCAGGGTCGACCCAGAGTTCTTGAACGCGAAGGAGGGCGATCAGAGCGCGATGCAGCATCTGATGCAGACGAACTCGGACTTGCAGAAGCAGCTGGCGGTGTTCAGCCTCACCGAGGTTGGGGAGTGCGGGATCCCCGGCAGCCACGCCACGCACTACAACTGCCTCACCGGCAAGAAGGTGAACATGGAGATGCGGGGCCACTGGGACACGCGGCTGTACCGCGAGCCCGCACAGCTCCGCTGCCGCTTGCCTAGCGACCCAGTGGAGGTGACGCTGGACACCGGTGCCACGAAGGGAACGAAGGACTTGATGATGCCGAGCAGGCCTCAGGGGCAACGATAGTGGAGGATAGGCTCAAGGGGGATGGATGCATCTACCCCCGATCGCCCATTCATCGCCGTAGAGGCCCGATGACCCACCCCGCCCAGGGAAGTGTAGGCTCGCTATCGCGAGCCTCTCGGCGTTCCATCGGCGACGTATCGCCGATTCCAGGTCGATGCTGCCCCCCTGAGCCAATCTCCCCCCCTAAGGTTGCCCCTCAAGGCCGCACAGGATCATCGGCGGGCGCCCGGAGGGCGCGGCGAACGCCTCGTCGCGGCTGAGGTTCAAGGGCGCGACCTCCTGCAACACTATGGTGTGCGACGGGAACCCTGCCAAGCACGCCATAGACGGCTTCGTGAGCACCATCGCCGGCGTCAACAACCTGAACATGTGGACGGGAGATCAGAGGAGGAAAGGGACCGATACCGATGACCTGCCCTCGTTTGGGCCTTCTTTGGCCTCCCGGAAGCCCTCGTCGCCACGGCTGGATTCTCCTTGAAATTCTGGTCAGAACGCACCCCGGGAAAGGCCCGGGGAGTACCCGTATCGGTAGTTTGTGGCTTCACCAGGGGATCTCGGCAAGGTGATGCAGGTCGCGCGCGTGGAGGTCACCTTCGAGTCCTGCATCTGCGAGGCACAGGACTCGATGCTCCTCGAGGTGTCCTCCGACAACGTGAGCTGGAAGAGCTACGGCTCTGTCGGCGAGCTGACGGTGTGGGAAGGGAACCGGGAAGTGGCCTTCGAGCGCCCGCTGAATGCCCGGTATATCCGCGTGCGCCCCTCTGCCTCGTACACCTCCAAGCCGCGCCGCCACGACAAGTTTTTCGCGCTCCGGGAGGTCGAGGCGTTCGGCATGAGCGAGCTTCTCCAGGATTGGTTGGAGAATCAGCTCCATAGACACACGCTTTCGGAGGTCAACGCGGATCTCTTGGATCGGCGCTGTAGCCCCCTGGCGGCTCCTCCAGCGCCGCCCCTGGCGTACTTCGCGCGCCAGGCAGGGGTGGTAAGGTGATCGATTTCTTATCCGTTGCTCTGCCGATCGGCGCGGGCCCTCGCCTCCCCTCCCCCCTCCGTATGGAGTAGATCTTGGCTGTTTGGGGCGCCTGTTTCGCGCAGGTGGAGTCTCCTCCATAGGACGCTCTGTTGCAAACAGTCGCGCTGAGCAGAGGTCCGGAGCCAGACCCCCCCCGCCCTCCCCCCCCTTCCGCCCAATGTCGGAACGCTGAAGAAGCAAACGTTCACAGGGCTTCGGACTGCACGCAGACAGCCCGCCCAGGTGGTCCCCGCTGGTATCAGCAGGCCTCCCGAGCAGTCCGGGGCGGTCTCAGCAGCTCGATCCTGGGGCGAGGAGCGCCCCGGGGGCGCCGCCAGAGGCCTTGGCATCGCTCGGGCGTGTGCATCGAGGGCCATCCTGGGCCATCGAGCAAAAATTACCCTGTGACGTACCCAACCCATTTGTATCAATGGAAACGAGGAGTTGGCCGAAACTTGTATGGACAATCAACTTGATGTGTAAGCTGCTTGGGAGGCGTCACTGTGCTGGGCCCCGCAAGCAGGCCTCGAAAGTGGCGACAGTTTCACATATCGCAGCCCCCCAGGGATGGCGAGGTCTAATCTGAGTCTGCGTGTGGCGTCACTGTGCTGGGCCCCCCAGCAGGCCTCGAAAGTGGCGACAGTTTCACAGATCGCAGCCCCCCAGGGATGGCGAGGTCCCATTGAGTCTGCCGTGAGTACCCACTGTGCTGGCCCCTCAGCAGGCCTCGAAAGTGGCGACAGTTTCATCGATCGCAGCCCCCCAGGGATGGCGAGGTCCAATTTGAGTCTGCGGTGAGTACCCACTGTGCTGGGCCCCCCAGCAGGCCTCGAAAGTGGCGACAGTTTCACAGATCGCAGCCCCCCAGGGATGGCGAGGTCTAATTTGAGTCCGCGGTGAGTACCCACTGTGCTGGGCCCCCCAGCAGCCCTCGAAAGTGGCGACAGTTTCACAGATCGCAGCCCCCCAGGGATGGCGAGGTCTAATCTGAGTCTGCGGTGAGTACCCGCTGTGCTGGGCCCCTCACAGCCCTCGAAAGTGGCGACTGTTTCACAGATCGCAGCCCCCCAGGGATGGCGAGGTCCCATTTGAGTCTGCGGTGAGTCCCCACTGTGCTGGGCCCCCCAGCAGGCCTCGAAAGTGGCGACAGTTTCACAGATCGCAGCCCCCCAGGGATGGCGAGGTCCCATTTGAGTCTGCCGTGAGTACCCACTGTGCTGGGCCCCCCAGCAGGCCTCGAAAGTGGTGACTGTTTCACAGATCGCAGCCCCCCAGGGATGGCGAGGTCCCATTTGAGTCCGCTGTGGGTACCCTCTGTGCTGGGCCCCCCAGCAGGCCTCGAAAGTGGCGACAGTTTCACAGATCGCAGCCCCCCAGGGATGGCGAGGTCCCATTTGAATTTGCCGTGGGTACCCACTGTGCTGGGCCCCCCAGCAGGCCTCGAAAGTGGCGACAGTTTCACAGATCGCAGCCCGCAAGGGATGGCGAGGTCACATTTGAGTCCGCCGCGGGTGCCACTGTGCTGGGCCCCCCAGCAGCCCTCGAAAGTGGCGACAGTTTCACAGATCGCAGCCCCCCAGGGATGGCGAGGTCCCATTTGAGTCCGCCGCGGGTGCCACTGTGCTGGGCCCCCCAGCAGCCCTCGAAATTGGCGACAGTTTCACAGATCGCAGCCCCCCAGGGATGGCGAGGTCCCATTTGAGTCCGCCGCGGGTGCCACTGTGCTGGGCCCCCCAGCAGCCCTCGAAAGTGGCGACAGTTTCACAGATCGCAGCCCCCCAGGGATGGCGAGGTCCCATTTGAGTCCGCCGCGGGTGCCACTGTGCTGGGCCCCCCAGCAGCCTTCGAAAGTGGCGACAGTTTCACAGATCGCAGCCCCCAGCAGCCCTCGAAACGCAGCGACGAGCCAGGTAAAAGTACGGTAAAAGGCAGGGGGCGAGAGAGGGACGGGAAGGAAGGAAGGTTCGCGCGAGCAGTGCTCTATTAAAAACGAGAACCCAACGCAGGAGGGTTGGGAAAAACACGCACGAGACCGAACAATGCACGGGCCATGGACGTCCGAGCGACGGAAGGAGGCGGCGCCAGGGTGTTGAGACGCCCCGGCCTGCGCGGGAGCCCTGCCGAGGCCAGCAGAGGCTGCCTGGGGTGGCTGTCTGTGCGCAGCCCGAAGCCTTGCCCAGGCAGTGGGTCCATCGGTGTTTAGGCCGTCTTTCCTTTTTGCGGAGGCCTGACGGCCGGTGCCGCCGACCCTGAAGAGGACCACGACGTCGGCGACGAAGTGGGCGAAGTGGGAAGGAGGAGGAGGAGGAGGAGGAGGAGGCGAGGAGGAGGGGGAGGGAGGAGGAGGATGAGGGAGGATGAGGAAGTTCCTTATTCCTCCGAGGAGGCTCCGGAGCGGCCCCTGACGCCGCTCGAGCGCCGCCAGCAGAAGAAGAACAGGCGGGAGCGGGCCGAGCGGAGGCGGCGGTTCGGCTGGCTGCGGTAGCCGGGCAAGAGCTGAGAGGGGGGCGCCGCGCGTGACCGCCGGGCCTCTTCGGCGTCCCTCCTCCTTCTCCTTCCTCCTCCTCCTTCCTCCTCCTCCATCGTCTACTCCTCCTCCTCCTCCTCCTCCTCCTCCTCCTCCTCCTCCTCCTCCTCCTCCTCCTCCTCCTCCTCCTCCTCCTTCCTCCTTCCTCCTTATCCTCCTTCCTCCTTCCTTCCCTCCCTCCTTCCTTCCTCCTTCCTCCTTCCCTTCCTTCCTCCTTCCTCCTTCCTCCTTCCTCCTTCCTCCTTCCTCCTTCCTCCCTCCTCCTTCTCCTCCTTTCCTCCTCATTCTCCTTCCTCCTACTCCTCCTCCTTCCTCCTCCTTCTCCTCCTCCTCCCTCCTCCTCCTCCTTCCTCCTCCCTCCTCCCCTCCTCCTCCTCCTCCTCCTCCTCCTTTCTCTTCTCCTCCTCCTCCTCCTCCTCCTCCTCACTCCTCCTCCTTCCTCCCCTCCTCCTCCTCCTCCTCCTCCCTCCTCCTCCTCCTCCTCCTCCTCCTCCTCCTCCTCCTCCTCCTCCTCCTCCTCCTCCTCCTCCTCCTCCTTCGCCTCCCAGGCCTCAAGCGGCGAGAACAGCAGCGGGACGAGGGGGAGGGAGGAAGCAGGACGCCGTGGGTCGCACGCTGCCTTGCGGCAGCCCTGCGTGCCGTTCCGCGTGGGGGCGAGAGGGCGGAAGGGAGGGGGGAGGAGCGTGGGCGTCCCTCCGCCTGCTCCCTGGAGGGCAGGCAGCTCCTGTGCCCGCAGTGCGAGTGCTCGCTCTCCTGCAGAAGGCGATGCGCGCGCTCACAGTTCTTGCCACGGAAGGCTCGGTGGCCGGCGCATTCTGGCCGTGCCGCCTGGGCAACGACACGTGATCATCGGGTGGCCTTCGGCCCATCACGCCGCCGTGCCTGGGCTGTGGGTTGGGGGCCGCAGGAATGCTTCTTGGGCTCTCTTCGGAGCGCTCTCGAACGCCTCTTGGGGGCCTCTTGGGGGCCTCTTGGGAGCCTCTTGGGGCCCCCTTGGGGCTTCCAGGGGGCCTCTTGGGGGCCTCCTGGACTCTTGAGGGTGAGGCCCTTGGGGCCTCTTGGAGGCTTCTCGGGGCCGAGGGCTCGAAATGCCCGTTCGGATCCCGCATCTGGACCCCCTTTTGGAGCTGTCTTGTCGGCCTTTTGGGCCCTCTTGAGGCGATCTTGGGCGCCTCTTGGGCCGTCACGGAGCTTCGGAAAGCGAAAAGGCGAAAACGCTAAAGTCATTCAAGAACCTGCTAGGATATCAATGAGTTTTGCCTCTTGGGGTCGTCCTGGGAGGCGTCTTGGGAGCATTTGGGGCCGTCTCGAGGCAATCTTGGACGTCTTGGAGCGATCTTTCGGCGACTCGGGGCCATCTTGGACCGTCTTGGGGGCCTCTCAGGACCCTCTTGTTCAGTTTTGGGTCCCTCTCCGGGAAGAAAAAGTCGCGCGACAGGACGCGACGGACCCCCAGGGGCCACGCGGCGCGCCAGGGACGATTTGGCAAGTTTGGGGCAGGGCTCTCAAATAATCTCCTGGATTGGAGACTGAGGCTCAAGGGGGGTCGGACAAGGGACCTGAGAACACTCCAACTCGTGTCTCGAGGGCACGGTGGCAGATAGATGTGTACTACATGTTCGGTTTGGACGTGCGCCTCTGAGGGTGACGGGGGAGGAGGGAGGGCGGAGGAGAAGGGGTGAGGAGGAGGAGGAGGAGGAGGAGGAGGAGGAGGGCCATCGGGGGCCCGAACCGCCGCCGCCCTCCTGCGGCCCTCCGGGGCCACAGGGCTGGCGGCTTCGCGGGCTGGCCCCAGGCGCGCGCGTGCGTTCGCAGGTCCTGCCGACCGCGCCGCGATGGAGCCTCGTCATGTGGCACGGCCCTGGCAGGACGCTCATGGTGCCTCGCTCGGCACGCAGAGCGTGGAGCCTGTGAAGCAGCAGCAGCAACAGCAGAAGAACCCCTGGGCCCAACAGGTCCGCCTCGCGCGGAAAGCGCGCCAGGTGGCGACGCAGCGGGCAGCGAGCCATCAATTGCAGTCTCAACGTCAACTCATCTCCGATCTGCAGTGCCAATTGCGAGCGTGGCACCAGTGGTGGCAACAAGCGCATCATGAGCCTTTTTGGGGACAGCGCTGGATGCCAGAAGACATCAGCTACAGCGCCGAAGCGGACGACCCCTGCGGGAAAGGGCGGGCGTCGCCCCAGGCAGCTGGCGGAAGCAACGGCAGTGGCAGCAGCGGTCAAGAATCAAGAAACAATGGCAGGGGACGGCAGTGGCAGCAGCAGTCCAGAGTCAAGACTCAAGGAAGCAACGGCAGTGGCAGCAGCGGTGAAGAGTCAACACTCCAAGTGGACTCAGCCATGCGCGAGAGAAAGGAAGGCGAAGATAGAGCCCGACGCGATCATCTACGGTTCAGGGATCAGGGCAAGCTTGATGCGACCTCGGGAATTGGCGCTAGGAGTGGAGTACAGTCGTCATTAGCTGCAGGCGCGGCCGCCCGTGCGCGTGATGTGGCGCCAGCAACAGCGCCAGCGAAGCTGGAGGGCGATGACACAGGCCATCTAGACGACAGAGCCCAGACGCCATCGCAAACACATCACTGTGAGAAGCAGGCGGTGAGGATGGAGCCCCTCACCAATAACCTAGCCGAGGACCCAGCCAACACGTGCGAGACGAAGGAAGGCGAAGATAGAGCCCGATGTGATCATCTACGATTCAGGGGACAGGGCAAATGTGAAACGAGGGGCACGGCAGCGGCAGTGGCAGCGGGCAAGAGCGGCAACATCACTACGCCATCAGTTACCGGCGCTGTGCGAGAAGAGACGGCAGTGGAAGAGGACTTGCTTCGGGCCGTGCGAGAGCACACCATCAGCTGCAGCACGGCGAAGTTGCAGCTGACGAATCAGCGCATTGGCGGCACCCAGGCGCGTGAGAAGATTGCCGTGGCAGCTGAGGTCATCGGAGCTGCGGCGAGATCGGGTGCGCAGTGGCGATCCGCGGCCCGTGCGGCACTAGAGGCGGCAGGCATCTGCGCGCCCAACGCGGCTGCTTTCGTCTCCATGGCCGCCGACGGCATCCCCATTCCAGCATGCATCGAGGCGATCTTCGCTGGTGTCGTAACCAGCGCCCACTGGTCCGCGGCCGACCAGGGCGACGCGTCCGAGCACGACGACGCCCGCGGCCAGCGCGCGACCAAGGATGACGCCGCCACCAGCCCCAGGACCACTCCTTCCAGGAGGACTCCGACGGCTACCACCACGAGTACAGCGGCGGCGCGAGGCAGCCTGCGAGAAGCAGCAGGCGGCGACCCGAGGCAGCCAGCGAGACGCAGGGTTTCGTTCGACCTGCGCAGCCACCTCGAGCGGCCCCAGGACCACTCTCACGGGGAGGACTCCGACGGCCGACTCGACGACAGCGACCCAGCGAGCCAGAACGACACAGAGAGCAACGCCACGGACAGCGAGTACGACGGCGAAACCACGTACACCGAGAACCACGACATGGCGGCAGCCGCGCGGGAGGCAAAATCTGGCGGGGCAAATTTCGGCGCCCCTGCAGGGCGAGGGGGTAGGCCCTACGACGACCCGCCCAGACCAGGAGGACGGCCCACTTGGGGGCCAAGCCTCCGCCCCGCTCCGACGGGAACCAGCAGCACGCCTACGGGAACCAGCAGCACACCTGCGGGAAACAGCAGCACACCAACGGGCACCAGCAGAGCATCGGGCACCAGCAGGCCTTCTTCAACCGCACTGGCGCCCACGGCGCCTCCCAGCACAACCACTTCCTCATCCTGGAGGGCGCCCACCTGAACGGCGAGTTCATCATCGCCGTCGCCCCCTCGGGTGGTGAGCGTGCCGCCTTCCTTAGGTGGAGGAGGCTGGCGGCCACCGAGGGGGGCAAGATCATCGTGTTCGGCTCCCACAGGGAGTACCTCTTCTGAGAGGGGGGGAGGAGGTGGCCCCCCCCTCGGGACGGCTGCGTCCGACAGGACATCGAGCCGATAGCGATAGCGATAGGAGGAGGAGGAGGAGGGGTGAGTAGGAGGGGGAGGAGGAGGAGGAGGAGGAGGAGGAGGAGGAGGAGGAGGAGGAGGAGAAGGAGGAGGAGGAGGAGGGGAAGGAGGACGAGGAGGAGGAGGGGGAGGGGGAGGAAGAGGACGAGTAGGAGCAGGCTCGAGGGAGGCCCCCTCCCCTCCCCTCCCCCTCCCCCTCCCCCGCGAGGCACCAGCTCCTGGGCTGACCACGCCCGCGGCGGCAGCTGCGCGGGCCCGCAGGGGGGGGGTCCAACAAACCCGGGGGAGCTCGCGGACTTGCGTCCCCCAGGCAGAGCCACCCCACCCCCTCCCTCTGCCACTCCCCTCCCCCCCTCCCCCCTCCTCCCTCCTCCTCCTCCTCCTCTTCCACTCCCCCCCCTCCTCTCCCCCCCTCCCCTCCGTTTCCTCCTCCTCCTTCCTCCTCCTCCTCCTTCTCCTCCTCCTCTTCCTCCTCTTCCTCCCCCCCCCCTCTCCCCCCTCCTCCTCCCTCCTCCTCCTCCTCCTCCCCCTTCTCCTCCTCCCCTCCTTCTCCTCCTCCTCCTCCTCCTCCTCCTCCTCCTCCTCCTCCTCCTCCTCCTCCTCCTCCTCCTCCTCCGTCCTCCTTGCTCCCCCTTTTTCTCCTTCTTGTCCTCCTCGGGCACGCTGGCCCGAACAGGATGGACCGCAGCGGGCATGCTTCGTTCCTGGAAGTGGTGGCGGGCCGCCCTCCTGACGAAGGCGGTCCTGTGATCTGTATTGCGCGGCATCAAGGGGATGGTCTCCCGGCGCTGGATGACGGCGAAGGTGACGAATCCGCGACTTCCGAGCACGACGTGAGGAGGTCTCGAGCTGCTGACCCATTTTTTCCCTTCGCCCACCGACATCGACGTCGACGGCATGGAGGAGAAGGCGGAGGTGGCGGACCGCACTGCTGCTGGTGCCTCGTCTGTGAGCACTACAGTCTCACAAGAGGGACTTCGAGGACATGATGGACTTGGCGGACTGGGTAGAGGTGACCGACGGGGATGTGACGGAAGAAGTCCTACACAGCGTGGAAGAAGGTCTCGTTCTCCCGTGTCTTGACCATGGCGGAGCTTGGTTGCCAAGATGGTGTGCACGGTGATGATATGGCGCAGCAGCCGATCCTTGATGGTCCTGATTATCCGAAGATTGGATACATGTTTGCTGAGTCGCATGGAGAGGATGACCGAGATGATCTCCCAAGTGGCCATGACGAAGATGCTGGATCGAGCTGCGACTTGCAGTTGATGCAGCATGAGTTCTTGAGTTTACCACCAGCGCCAACACGATCGTGTTCGGGCCACTGCCCTTGGCGGGACGATAGCGAGGTGTGTGTTTTCTTGTCGTCGTGCGCTTCCTCTGGTAAAGCTCCCCCGCGCCGTGCGATGGGAGAACATCCGCCCCCCGTGTATGCAATATCCGGGAGCTGATCAGGCATGGCGCGTCGTCAACCACCTGAAAGGCTTCGCGGAGCAGTGGCTCTTCGTGGCTGACGGAAGGGGAATCCTGGCAAGACCTTGGCGACTGGATCGATTGATGTGTTCCTCCCATGGCCACCTTGTTGGACATGCCACACCCGACCGAGCCTTTTTCGAGGACGGAGACACCGCCAATCAGTTTCCCTGATCGCACCATTCGTCGGCTTTCGCTTCTCTCATTACCCCATGCGGGGTGGCGGAGTCTTCGAAGATTAGGATTCGGCGACGACGTATTGGCAACGAAACGCGCCGTGCCAAGCTCGCCACAAAAAAAGGCTTGCTGACACACTCAGGGTCTGAGCCTGGGGCATGTGCGAGGCAGCCTGGGCATGCGCAGGCGCGGCGCGCAGGAGGTGCCCCTTTGGTTTTCGGCGGCCTTTTGGTCATCGGCGCTCTTTGGTTTTCGGCGCCCTTTCTGGTTTTGGGCGCCCTTCGGCTTTCGGCGCGCCTTTGGTTGTTGGCGCCCTTCGGTTTTCGGCGCCCTGTTCGTTATCGGCGCCCCTTTGGTTTTTCGACGCCTTTTTGGTCTTCGGCGCATCGTTGGTGCTCGGTGCCCCTTTGGCTTTCGGCGCTCTGTTTGGTTTTCGGCGCCCCTTGGGTGTTCGGCGCACCTTTGGTTTACGGGGCCCTCTTGGTTTTCGTCGCCCTTTGAGTTTTCGGCGTCCTTCTGGTTTTCGGCGCCCTTTGGTTTCTTGCGCGTCTTTGGTTGTCGGTGCCCCTTTTCGTGTTTGGCGCTGCTCTAGCTGCCGTACTCCTTTTGGTCTTCTGCGCCTCCTTGGGTTTCGGCGCCCCTTTGGTTTTCGACGCCCTTTCGGTTTTCGGCGCTCCTTTGGTTTTCGGTGCCCTCGTGGTTTTCGGCGCCCCTTTGGTTTTCGGCGCTCCTTTGGGTTTTTTGGCGCCAATTTGATTATCGGTGCCGTTTTGGTTTTCGGCGCCCTTTTTGTTTTCTGCACCGTTGTGGTTGTCGGTGCCCCTTTTCGTGTTTGGCGACCATTTTGTTGTCGTCGCCCTATTGGTTTTCGGCGCCCCTTTGATTTCCAGTGTCTTTTTCAAGTTCGGCGGCCTTTTGATTTTGGCGCTCTTTTGGGTTCCGGTGCTCTTTGTTTTTCGGCGCTCTTTTGATGTTCCGCGCTGCTTTGGTTTTCGGCGCTCTTTTAGTTTTCGGCGCCTCGTGATGGGAGCCTTTTATGGTTTTCGGCGCCTCTTTGATTTTCGGCGTTCGTTAGGCTGTCGGCGCCCTTGTGCTTTTCGGCGCCCTTGTGTTTTTCGGCGCTCTTTAGGTTTTCGGCTCGCCTTTGTTTTTCGGCTCTCTTTCGGTTGTCGGCGCCTTTTGGTTTTCGGTGCCCATGTGGTTCTCGGCGCTACTTTGGTTTTCGGCGCGCGTTTCGTTTTCGGCTTCCTTTTGGTTTTCGGCGCACCTTCGGTTTTCGGCGCCCTTTTGGTTTTCGGCGTTCCTTTTGTTTTCAGCGCGCCTTTGGTTTTCGCACCCTTTTGGTTTTCGGTGGCTTCTTGGTCGTTGGCGCTTCCTCCTTTAGTCTAAGGAGGTGGTTGGCTTCCGGATGTGGGTATTCAAAAGGGGGGAAGCTAAGCCCACCCCCTTTGGAAAGGGAAGAGGGGGGCGGTAGCTTCCGGGGCGCGAAAGGGGAGAAGGGGGGGGAGGGGGGGAGTTTCCGAGGCGTGTAAAAAAGTACGGGTAGAAGGGGCTTCTGGCAGGGGAGGTGCAGGGGGGGGGGGGGTAGCTAAGTCCCCCCTTGGACAGGGAGGGGGCGGGGTAGCTTCCAGAGCGCGAAAGGAGGGGGGGGGTAGCTTCCGCGGGGCGGAAAAAAGGACGGGGGGGGGCTTCCGGCAGGGGAGGTCCAAGGGAAAGGGTCGCTAAGGGGCTCCCATCCTTCCCTTTTGGAGGGTACCGCGGGTGCCGCGCTCTCTCTCTCTCTCTCTCTCTATTTTTTTTTCTCTCTCTCTCTCTCTCTCTCTCTCTCTCTCTCTCTCTCTCTCTCTCTGTCTTATTATGATACGTGGCATTCGTAGTTTTATGTGTCTTGCAATAGTTTTCACTCGTATTAACATTATTGGTATTCGCATGTTCCTTATCAGGACCAGTACTAGAAGCAGTATTATTATTTCCACTCGTAGTAGCAGTAGCAGGTAGTCGTAATAGTCGTAGTAGTAGTAGTCGTCGTCGTCGTCGTCGTCGTCGTCGTCGTCGTCGTCGTCGTCGTCGTAGTAGTGGAGACAGTAGAAGAATTAGAAATCAAGTCGTAGTAGTAGTAGTAGTAGCAGTAGTAGTAGCAGTAGCGGTGGTAGTAGTAGTAGTAGTAGTAGTACTTTCTACTACTACTACTACTACTACTACTACTACTACTACTACTACTACGACTACGACTACTAGTACTAGTATTAAGACTCGTGCTAGTATGAGTGGTGTACTGGTAGGAGGAGGAGGGGAAGGAGGAGGAGGAGTAGGCGTAGTCGTAGTAGTAGTTGTAGTAGCAGTAGCAGTAGTAGGAATGGCAGTAAGAGTAGTAGTCTTATTCGTAGTAGTAGTAGTAGTAGTAGTCGTCGTAGTAGTAGTAGTAGTAGTAGTAGTGGTAGTATGCGTAGCAGTAGTAGTAGTAGTAGTAGTAGTAGAAGTATTAGTAGTAGTAGTAGTAGCAGCAGTCGTAGTAGTAGTAATAGTGGTAGTAATAGTACTAGTAGTTGTTGTTGTAATTGTAGTACTAGCAGTGGAATCAGTAGTAGTAGTCGTAGTAGTAGTAGTAGTAATGGTAGCAGTAGTAGCAGTAGTCGCCGTAGTAGCAGTAGTAGTAGTAGTAGTACAAATAGTAGTGGTAGTATTACCAGTTGCAGCAGTAGTACTAGTAGTAGTAATGGTAGTAGTAGTAGTAGTAGTAGTAGTAGTAGTAGTAGTAGTAGTAGTAGTAGTAGTGGTAGTAGTAGTAGTAGTAGTCGTAGCAGTAGTAGTGTGAGTAGTACTAGTAGTAGTAGTAGTAGTAGTAGTAGTAGTAGTAGTAGTAGTAGTAGCAGTAGCAGTAGCAGCGATAGTAGTAGTAGTAGCCATGATAGCAGTAGTAGCTGTAGTAATACTAGTGGCCGTATTGATACGAGTAGTAGTAGTAGTAGTAGTAGTAGTAGTAGTAGTAGCCGTAGTAGTAGTAGTAGTAGTAGTAGTAGTAGTAGTAGCAGTCGCCGTCGCAGGTGCAGTAGTACTGGTAGTCGCCATAGTTGGAGTTGTAGTAGTTGTAGTAGTGGTAGTAATAGTAGTAGTAGTAGTAGTAGTAGGAATCGTAGTAATAGTAGTAGTAGTAGTAGCAGTAGTAGTGGTAGTGGTTGTGGTAGCGGTAGTAGTGGAGGTAGTAGTGGTCGCATTCGTACACGTAGTCGTAGTCGTAGTCCGTAGTCCTAGACGTAGTAGGAGTAGTAGTAGTAGTAGTAGTAGTAGTAGTAGTAGTAGTCGTAGTAGTAGTAGTAGTAGTAGTAGTAGCAGTAGGAGTAGCAGTCGCAGTAGTAGTCGTAGTAGTAGTTGCCGTATATAGAGTAGGAGTAGTAGTAGCAGTAGTAGTAGTAGTAGTAGTAGTAGTAGTAGTAGTAATAGTAGGTATACTAGTAGTAGTAGTAGTATTAGTAGTAGTAGTAGTAGTAATAGTAGTAGTAGTAGTAGTAGTAGTAGTAGTAGTAGTCGCCGTCGTAGTAGTAGTAGTAGTAGTAGTCGTCGTCGCCGTAGCCGTAGTAGTTGTAGTAGTTGTAGTAGTAGTAGCAGCAGCAGTAACAATAGTAGCAGCAGTAGTTGTAGTAGGAACAGGAGTAGTAGTAGTAGTAATAGCAGTCGCATTTGTAGTGTTAGCGTTGTGATGCAATGGTGTGCGTGAGCCCTGGTATTGTTAATTCCCCACTTGCACATGTGAATATGCCCCACCCCCAACAGATACGTCAAACCAACCCAGCCTCCATACGGTCTCCAGCCTCCGCTGTTCGCCCTCGTCCTCATCATCCTCCTTCCTTCTCCCTGTTCCTCCTACGCATGGTCCTGTTCATCCGCCTCCCCGTCCTTCTCATGATCCTCCAGTGGCTCATCAAGGTGATCTTGAGGTCCCCCCTTCCTCCACCGGCGACCTGTCAGTGCTATTTACCGAATTCGGAAGGTGAGACTTGCGTGAGGATCGTTACTACCAAACGTGCGTTGTTGGCCCATCAACGGTTTGCTAATGGAAGGGGTCTTTCGTGTCGGTCCGTCGTGCACACCATCATCGTGACTAACGAGTGCATGTTCTGTGGGCGGAGTTTTCGAAACCGTCGTATCGCCCAGGCGGCCCTGAAAGGTCGATGCACCCCGAACACCACGCCCCTCCATCGTCCTGTCCTGGAGCCCGAGAGCCTGTTCTGTCCTCTAGCATACCTGACTCGAGCGACTATCTTCGGAGGCCAGGTACAGGGAGCCCACGAGTTATGCTGCAAACGTTCGCAGCCGTTTGAGGATCGAGTTGCGATGCATCGCAACCCCTGCCGACATTCACCCCGTGTACTTGTCATTATTCGAGAGCTTGCTTGATGTTCCGATTGGGTACCGAGCAGCTCGAGGCGGCCAAGCGCTCCAGGTTGCACGGAGGAGGGCCAGGCTCGCGCAGGGGCCGATCTGGCTCAGCAGCTGTTTCCCGAGGGCGTGGTGGTCAAAGCGGAGCTCAGCGGAGGAGCCCAGCCGCGGACCGCGTGGCAATGGGTCAAATGTACGAGCTGCCTGCGGACGTGCTGGCCAAGCTGCCTGTCATGAACATGCAGACGTGCGCCAAGCTGATCCCCGTGACCATGAGGGCAGTGCTGAGCAACTTTTTCAATCTGCGCATGCTCGTGGCCGCCGAGTACGTGACGCTGACGATAGACGAGGGGACGGAGCTGATCAAGAGCGGGTTTCAGGCTGGGCGTGCATACGCCACCGAGGCCCAGCGCGCGTGCAGGTTTTTCTAGTGGTGGCTCGAAAGGTCCCGGAGACGGGAGACAAGGTGGGGCTGGCCAGCGCGAGGAGTTGGACGGAGCATCAGCAGCGCCTCGACGGCATCGACTCGATCGCAGGCCTCCCGATGTTGGTCAAGGGGCTCGACGTGAGCTTAGCGTTCAAGGAAGGGCTCGCGAATATGGTCTTCAGCTTGACGGATTAGCAGATGCAGCGGTCGTTCTTGGAGTGCGTGGTTCAACTCGGGGGGGAAATGCGTCCTGGCATCGCTCCACGTTCGCACACGGACTGGGCCCTCCAGCTGGCGCTGGATGAGTTCGACATCTGACGAGGACAGGTGTTAGATCGCAAATCCAGGGGATGGCCTCCCAGGCTCAGTCGTCGCAGTTTTGTGGGTCCGAGCGCGTCCCGTCGGCTTGCCCTGGGGTAGGAGCTGGCGCGGGCGTGCCGGGCGTTTGATCGCAAATCCCGTTGTCGTGTTCGGGTTTGCGTCTAACGACGTTTTCGTCGGAGCCTTGGAATCCTTACATTCCTGAGGGTGGCCTTCCAGGTTCTGCGTTGCAGTTTTACAGACCAGAGTTGTTGGGAGGTCAGTCGTATGATAATGTGGGAGTCGTGCAGAGAGCTGCGAGAGCCACTACCATGCGGAGTGATGTGGGCACCGTGCAGTATTTATTGACAGCAGCTACGCGTCCGCTGGCACAGTCGAGGTCGGCGCTCCAGAGTACGAGTTCAGGTTCCCACAAGGCCAGGACGCCATCGCAGATGTTAGGAAGGAGGATTGCCTCGCTGGCGAAGGCTTCCAGGTCGGGTGAAGCAGGGGGTTTCGTGAAGCCTGGCGCTCAGGTGGCCGCCCGTGCTGCCGCTGCTGTCCCCCTCTCCTCCTCCCCCTCCTCGTCCGAGGCATCCCTCGTCCTCCTCTTTCGCCACGGGGCTTATTGGCCTATGCCAGCGATTCTGATCCTCTGTATGTTTTTTTGTTCGCCTCGGGCCTCGGGTGCCCTCTCCGTGTCTGTAGCGTTTCGCTCGATGTTGGTTCACTGTGAACTGTGGTTGAGCAATGACAAATTGGGGCTCCCACCTGTCGCGGGGGGGCGTCGTTTAGACGCATTTTCTTGCGCACGATAAGTCGCACATCGCTGAATCGTATGTTGAGTACTGCTGTGTGGTCTGGGAGACATTCAGCCCGATATCGCTCCGCCGCCGCGCCACCTTCTTCTACGCACGCGCCTCCAATTTTCCGATTGCGCATTCGATGGTGGGGTCTTATGTGGAGCCCTAGGTCGGCGATGCCATGCGCCCGCAGATAGAGAAAAAAACCAACGCAATGGGAAGGGATGAGGGGGAGGGAGGATGTCAGTTGTAGCACGAGCGCACATGGCTTGTCCGTCCCCCTGTTCTTCCTTCCCTCCCTCCTTCCCTCCTTCTTTCCCTCCTTATCCTCATCCTCCCTCCGCCTCCCCCTTTTTCTGCGTTTCTCCCTGACGGACGCGAAAGACTTCCCATTTGCGGCCGCGCCTGGGTCACCCACAGAGGGATGCGAGCTGTGGGTTGTCACAGCCCCTCTCTACAGGATTGGCTTTTGGCGGCGGTGGGCGTCGACCGATGATGGTTTTCTGCGGCTTGGGGGCGCTGGCATCTTACACCCGCATAGCTTCAGAGACGTCCGAGCCCCGCACCCGGCGCAGCATGCGCCGCGCGCGTTGGTAGCTCGCCAGACCTAACCGCTGCGAGGTGTCAGTTGCAGCCCCGTGTCTGAGGAGGGAGACTCGCGCCGAAGATGTGGCCGCGCCTGGGGTTTCGTGGGCAGGGCCACGGAACTGCCAATTGCTGGCCCCCCTCCCCTTTTTCGGGGAGGCGGGGCAGCGCGGGGGCGCGAGGAAACGGGCAACCTGGTGGGCCGGGACTTGCGCATCTCGCGGAAGCTCCCGCGGGTGCTTGAGGAGGGGGAGGAAGAGAATGAGCGATGGGGAGGCGAGGTCGACACAAACGAAATGGGTACGGAAAGAATGGGGACACAGAGCGACAACATGTCTTGCCAATGTTGAACAAGACTCGTTGTCGGAGCCGCCGCGGGCGATGTCCATTTGACCATTTGACAAGGACAGCCGCCTTCACAACGACTACATTTGTTATTCGATATCGTACCCATGTTTCCCGCATCCAGGTTGGGTGTTCATAGAGCAGGGGCAGGAGGGAGGAGGAGGAGAAGGAGGAGGAGGAGGAGGAGGACGCGGAGGGGGACGGGGAGGAGGTGGAGGAGGAGGAGGAGGAGGAGGGAGGAGGAAGGGAAAGAGGACGAGGAGGACGAGGAGGAGAAATGGTATGGTATGGTATTATGGTATGGTATGGCGGTGGCCTAAAGCCAGTAGGGGGAGGAGGGGGAGGGAGGAGGAGGAGGAGAAAAAGAAGGAGAAAAAGAAGAAGGAGAAGAAGGAGAGAAGGAGAAGAAGGAGAAGGAGAGAAGGAGGAGGAGAGGGAGGAGAAGGCGAGGAGGAGGAGGAGGAGGAGGAGGAGGAGGAGAAGGGAGGAGGGAGAGGAGGAGGAGGGACGAGGAGGAGGAGGAGGAGGAGGAGGAAGAGGAGGAGGGGAGGAGGGGGGGAGGGGGAGGAGGAGGAGGAGGAGGAGGAGGAGGAGGAGGAGGAGGAGGAAAAGGAAAGGAGGAGGAGGAGAGGAGGAGGAGGAGGACGAGGAGGAGGAGGGAGGAGGAGGAAGCGGATGAGGAGGGGGAGAGCTTGGGGAGGGGGGGGTGGGGGGGCTTCCCCCCGTGCTGCCATCGGGGGGCGCACGGTCCAGGCGCTTCGTCCTCGGGCTGCGGGGCGCGAGGGCGCGACGGAGGACGCGGGCGCGCCGCGCCCCTTCCCCCCCTGCCTTTTTGTTGCGTGGGCGCACGCGTCCCAACAAGTTCCTCTTCCTCCTCCTCCTCCTCCTCCTCCTCCTCCTCCTCCTCCTCCTCCTCCTCCTCCTCCTCACCACCACCATCCTCAACATCCCCATCATCAACATCATCATCATCCTCATCATCCTCAGCAACATCCTCATCATCATCATCATCATCATCATCATCATCATCATCATCCATTTTGGCTCAAGAACTGTTGAGGACCTGTCCACCCTACTCGCGCGCATAACCGAGTAACTGTAACCTTTTACCCCGCGTCTGTTCCACAGCCAGCCCAGTCTCATTTTGTCACTGTACTGGAAAGAGATCTGTCAGGTGCATTGGGATCTGAAGGTTCGGCAGCATCGCCTGCCAAGCAAGCACGTCGCCAGGGAGCTGGAGACGCGATGGGGGAAGAAGAGGCCACCGACATCGAGGGCTTCGACCGTGCGGTGACCAGCCCTGTTCGCCAGGCACCGCCCCCTCCACTGCTCCACGGTCTGAACCCCGAGGCGGCATCGTTGGTGGAAGCGATCATGGCGTCGCGGAACCCCGACTTCGCAGGCATCCGCCAGGACGTGAACCTGGTATCAACAAAGCAGACCAGCATGGACTTGAAGGTAGATCTGATGGGCACTCGTATGGAAGCCATGTCGTCCAGGATCGACAAGACGGACCGTGCAGTGCAGGATCTTGCCAGCCGAACTTCGGCACCTGAGCGAGGGGGAGTGGGATCCAACGCTTCTACGGCAGGTGACATGCGAGGTACTCGTTCTGGAACTGGTGTCCATCCTGCCAACCCTTACAGTCGTGGAGCTGATTTTTTACCGAAGACGTGTCGTCAGATCATCGTGGTGGGTGGATTCCCGACGGACACGGAGAAGGTTCGTATCATCCAGAAACTAAGGGACATCGCGGCGATCAATCCGACCTTCCCGAACTGGGCTGGCCCTGACTTGGTGGAGGACCTTTACACGCCAGGCCCGTTCGCATCCACTGGTAAGATCAAGTTCCGTTCGTCTTCTAACATGTGGACCTTTCTGAAAGCATTCAAGGGACATAAGTTCGACTACAACGGCCGGCCTTTATTTCACCAGATAGACAGCACCGAGGACGAGCGCCAGATGAGCAAGAGGACGTCGGCAGCTCGCAACAACAGCATCGCGCACCTGAAGACAACCAACCGTCTGTCCGAGAACCCGACGCGCGAGGATTTGCAGCAGACCCTGCCGTGTGACTGGGACGCGGGCATCGTTCGCTACCGCTCGCAGGACGGCATGATCAGCCGCTTGTTCGAGGCCAACCGTGGGACGGGTCTCTTCGAGGTCTCTGCGCAGGCACAGGCGTCGCAGCTGAACGTTCGCTTCGCAGAGCACCTGCAGGACATCAACTTCGGCATGCGCTGAAGTGCGGGGCCAACAGCGTCCCAGGGTCGATGCTCGACATTGCGAATTATCTCGTGGAATGCACGAAGCATCGAGAATGAATCCGGATCTTTTTGCGCAGAGCTGGAGAAAGAGGAGCATTGGGATGTTCTTCTTCTGCAGGAGGCGGCGTGCTCAGACCACTTCCGTGTTGGCGCCATGGATGGCGGCCATATCCCATTGGTTTCGAGCTCCCATGAGGGGCGTTGGAGGACAGCGATCATTGCGCGTCGAACTTTCGCGGGAGATGTCGATTCGTCCTTCAAACAACGTGGAGAGGCTATGTCCGTGGGGCTTCGGTGGGGTTCTCAGATTATCCTCCTCATCTGCGCTCATCTAACCTCCTTACCATAACGTAGCGGAGTACAATACGAGTATTGATTGCGTTCACGAATTAATTGCAGAAAGCTCGTGCGACTACTTAGTGATTGGAGTGGGCGCCCAGGCCACTGTGGGCAATAGGCATGCTGCTCCGTGGGTTGGCCCCAATACTACTACTCGTCGTGACCTCGTCGCTCCTCATTTTCTGGACTTCGTTAAGTCTCACGACCTCGCTCTCCTCAACACCCTGGATTCTGCCCCCTCCGATTGTTGGACGTGTCATTATGATTATAAGATGGGGTTTGCTCCTCAGCAGATCGATTGCGCGGGGGGTTCTCGAGACTTGCCGGGTAGGCAAATCAAGTTTGAAGTAACGTGACCTGCTTCGGCGGCGACCGAGTCAGACCACAGGCCGATCTGCATCACGCTGCAGGATTTCAAGACTTCGCTGCCTGCTCGGTCATTTCGGTCGGCACGATCGTCGCTAGGCCGGCAGGTGCAGGACTCAGAGTATCCGCACAAGATCTGCGACGAACTGGAGCTACCACTTTTTCCTGGGCAAGAGTTCGAACCCACTCTGGATCCTTGGGCCTGGCATATCTGGACCGATGGAAGTTTTACCAAGGGAAGAAGACTGCCGAAACGGGTGGAATCTAAAGCTGTTCGGGGATTTGCGGTCTTCCCTCAGGGATGCGATGCTCCAGCTGTCAGGTCTCAGGCTCTTCTAGCAGCTTGTGGACACGTTACCGACGATCCGCAACATAGAGCTTTTCTTGGGGCAGCGCGTCGCACCAACGGCGCGGCCGAGATCACGGCGCTGATCGAACTCAGTTTCTGGCTCCTACAGCAGGGCCAACACAAGTCGGCGCTTTCGGTCCTCCCTGGATCCCGGAAAAGGTTCAGGTCCGACAAGTTTCTGATCCCATTGGGTAACACGGCCATCATTCACGTCGATGCGAAGTATGCGATTCTAGCGGCAGATGGGCACGATGCGACCGAAAGAGAACGTTCTTCTGGCCTATCTCGTTCGACATTTAGTTCAGCAAGTTCGGAGAGACTTCCGGGCCCAAATCGTCTGGGATCGCTCGCATCAGGCCGATAACGTTGGAAACGACTACGCCGATTACCTAGCCAAACAGGGAGCTCGTATAGCCTCAGAGGTACCCAAGTGGTCACGACCTACTCAGGTCGACCGGTTTCAAGCTGACTTTCTTCGATTGCTGGGCGGTGCCCAGCAACTCTGTCTTCCGATCCATGAACAGATGCAACGCCAACAGAAGAGGTTCGAGACCAGCTGTCCTGAATTTCTCGTCGGGGACCTCACGGAGTCGACCATGCCCTCGCCATTGCCCCGCGCGGGCGCGGACGGAAAAACTGCACCGACCCTGGGGGCCTTCACGAACGTGGTCTCCAGCGTTGCGCCTCGATGTGGTCGAGGCTGTCCCAGACACAAATCAGGCGCGGTAGCAGCAGATGATCCGCCCCTGGCTCGCGCTCGCGACTTGCAGCGCCATTTGCGCGCGGAGGCGGGGAGCCACATGCGCAAACACCTAGCGAAGGAGATTCACCGACTCAGAAGACAGGTCTCCAGGACGCGGTCCACGGCCAAGCTCAATGAAGCTCTCAAGACGAAAAGCTTCCCAGGACGCCCAAAAGCCCGCCCCCGCATCCCCGAACTCAGCTGGGCCCAAGACGACGTGACTTTGACGGCGACGACGACCAGACAGAAATCCAAGATGTTGACGGACTTCTTTTCGGAGCTTTTCGGGGGCCCGACCCCAGCGACCTCTTCGTCTGCCCCTGACCCCCCTGCCCCAAAACGACCGACGGCGAAAGACCCCCCGTGGATACATCATCATTGGAGTCCGTCTGCGCTCGAGGCCTTTAGACACCTAGATCGCGGGTGGGTTCAGGAGGCTTTACTCAAAATGAAGATGGGTAAGCAGGGTTCTAAGCAAGATGGGGTAGTGGTGGAGATGTTAGCGCAGTTGCCCGAACAAGCTTTCGAGTGCGTCGCCGACATGTTTAAGCGCCGTCTACTGAACTCGCGAGGCGAGCGCAATGATAACGTCTGGGGGTCTCACATGATCATTCTTTTAACGAAGAAGGGTTTCTTCACGTCGGGGAGCATCGCGGACTTGCGCCCCATCACGCTGCTGCCTGTCATTTACAAATGGTATAGCCACGCCCTACTCCTCCTCCTCAGTCCTGAACAACGGCAACATTCGAAGTATCAATTCGCATTTGGAAAAGATTTTTAAGCAGAGGAAGTTATTTTCATGTTCAAGGAATCCTTCGAGAAATGCAACGAGTGGGACCCAGAGAACCCCCTCTTCACCTTCGCGGGAGATATCCTGAAAGCTTATGACTACACGGACCGCGGTGAGGTGGCCCAAGCCGGTGTCAAACATGGGGTCCCGAAGATTTTGCTCGCTGGCTGGCTCCGAGAAGTAGGCAGAATGACAGCGACGGTTTCACTGAACGACCTTACCTGTTCGGCTCCTGTCGGCAGAACTCGTTCACTGGTGCAGGGGGGCCCTGCTGCGCCATATCTGTTCAATCTGCGGCTGGACGTCCTGATTGACCAGTTTGTCAAACGCTGCGAGAAGTATGATTGGGGTTTCCGCCGGCAGGCATCCACCGACGGGCAGGAGGATTTGTTTATCCCCATCTTGTGCTTTGCGGACAATTTCTGGATCCTGGGTAGGACCCGCAGGGAGATGAAAATTATGACGGAAAACTGGCTCCAGATCCTGCGAGACGGTGGATACGAAGTGGATTTTTCTGAGTGTGAATGGTCGAGTACGTCTTTCCCAGAGGCTTCCTGCTGGAACGCAACGGTTTCGAGTCAGGGACACGAAATCCGACGGGTTCCAAAAATCGAAGGTATCAAGATCCTGGGGGTCATGTTATCACACGACGGACGAGATGATGTAGCATTGGAGTATCGGATCTCACAAGCCTGGAAGTCTTGGTTTAAATGGCGGTCTGTATTCTGCCAGCACCACGCGCCGCTCGAGAAGCGGCTCCTTTTGTGCGACAGCGTGATCCGCAGCAGTCTCTTTTGGGGCGCGAAAGGGTGGAACCTGAGGAAAGACCAGTACGCCAAGCTGAGTGGCCTCCAAGATACCCTACACCGTCGAGTTTTTGGACCCCGAAAAGTTAGCAATGAACCCTGGGGAGATGTTATGGTCCGTACTTCTGGTAAGACAAACGACGTGAGGAACAAACTTGGGATTCCTGGGATTCTTGATTGAGATGAGTATCGTATGCAGCTGCAGTTTCGATGGGCAGGACATCTAGAGCAACTGAGCGTGAGAGACCCCGCCCGCTTAACCCCTCAGGTCCTCCATTTTCGGGGCGCCAGGTTCCTTCGAGCGCAGGAACGAGCTCTCGGTCGCGGGCGTCAAGGCCACGCGCGCAAGCTCCGTCCCTGGAGGTGGGAATCCTTTCTCTATCGTTGTCCTCACCTCCCCCAGCCCTGGAATGTGCGCGCCGAAAGCTCCGAGCATTGGCCCCACTACATGAATATAGTTGTTCCGCAGCGATTTGTTGCACACTTTCAGTTTCTTGGAGATTTTCCGTCGCCTTCAGTCTCCCAGCTCTGGTCAGGGCCGAACTCGTTTCGAGGAGCATACATCATCATCATCATCATCATCATCATCATCAGCATCATCATCATCATCATCACCATCACCCTTACAGTAGGCACACCAAGTAAAGATGTGTAAAGAACTGGCTTGCCAACCAGTGCACCACGATGGTTTTCTGATCTCCCGATGGGCCCGCAAAGTCCTGAGGCACATTAGGAAGCCCAGAGTCGACGAAGGATTTGCTCCTCGATGGCTTATAGCACGAGTTCTGAACGTGCGTGCCTGCTGTAAAGCTGGATCTGCCAGCGACTGCATACATCAAGCACTTAGCTGCGCGCATCGCGGCCCTCGATCGCCCAGTTTGCTTGGGCGCGGAGAAGTTGCTGCACCCCCAGTTGCACCAATGCTCCTTCGCACTGGCCCCTGTCCCCTCCGACGACGGGCAGTCTTCGCGGCGTTCGCCGACGGTTCGCCCCCGGAGCGGTGCAGGGCCAGGTTGCTGCAGCATCCGGCGTATTGAGCGTGATATCCAGAACGTGGTGTCCGAGCCTGGGATGTCTCCTCCCCTTCCTCTCGGGTCGGGCGAAAGGGGGGGATTGGGACAGGGGGGGTTAGGAAATTTGCTGCCCCACCGAGGGGCCCATTCCTCGATACATAGTCGCCTCCCGGCGCCGGGAGGCGCCAGGAAAATCACCTACGTGAGCTGATTCTCTAACCCCCCCTTTGCTATCCCCCCCTTTCGCCCGACCCCCTCCTCCCGTGGGCCAGTGCGCTCCTCTCCACATCCGCCCCTGGTTTTCGGGAGTCGCTTGTCCTTGCCGCGCCACCAGACGTGACGGCGGCGCGGCCTGGGCATGGCGCCCGGGCCTTTTCTCGCACTGCACGGTCGTGGAGCCTGGTATTTGCAAGGGCTGCACGGATGGTGGGCGGCTTGTCTTCTGATAGGGGGTTCCGCGTCGGCTCCGCACATGCGAACCAGCTACTTCCAGCACGTACCCGAACGGAGGGTTGCTAGCTGTTTTGAGTGTGGTTCTCGTCTTGCGCCGCGCCCGCGGGTCTTGAAAAGTTTGGTGCAGGTGCATGGGTGGAGGGCGGTACATTTTCAAAAGTGGGCCCTCGCACCTTCTCCGTGTTGTGGTCGGGGATATTAGCGCTTGGATGGTCTAGAGCAGTTTCATCGATGCCTCCTGGGCGCGATCTTGTTTTCATCCACCTTTCGCCCGCCCGCGGAGGGATGGAGGAGGAGAGAGGAGGAGGGAAGGAGGGAGGCGGCGGAGGAGGAGGAGCAGGAGGAGGAGGAGGAGGAGGAGGAGGAGGAGGGGGAGGAGGGAGGGAACGAGAGCCGTCGCGGTCTGCGAGCGCATCATGGATATTGTGGCGTGATGGCCTGCTCCAGGGCGCTGCTTCTGGATCGACGTCACCGTGCGGTCGCCCTTCGCGACCGAGCTGTGGCGCTCGCACGAGCTGCCGGGGAAGGCCGCGCTCGACGGCGAGGCGGACAGGCGGTCCCACAGCGGCGCTGCCGTGGCCCCGGTGGCGATGGAGCCCTCTGGGCGCCTCGGGCCAGCGGCGCCTCGCTGCACGAGGAGCCGGCCGACTGCAGCCGGCTGCGCCCAGGGACCGGGCGAGCGACCGCGCCGGCGAGCCCGGCGCTCCGGCCCGTCGGCGGCCGGCCGCCGTGCGCGGCTCGGCGCAGCAGCTCCTCGCGGCGCGGGGAAGCAGCACGCTCCAGACGCTCGGGGCGGCCCGCCCGACGCGCTGCCGAGCCGGCGCGGCAGCGGCGCCACGCGTCGGAGGGACTGCCTTCTGACCTCCCTCTGCTCCCTCTCTCTCTTTCTCTCTTGCTTCTTCTCCGTCATCCCGCCCTCCCAGTGCACAGACCTCGTCGCCCTCCCCTCTCCTCCGCCTCCTTCTCCTCCGCCTTCCTCCCTCCGGGAAAACCCGCGATGAGGCTTCTCCTCGTCCTCCTCATCCTCCTCCCTGTCTTCCCTGTCCGTTCGCCCTCGCCAGCGGGCGGGCGAAAGTGGGAGGAAGGGAGGAGGAGGAGGAGGAGGAGGACGAGGAGGAGGAGGAGGAGGAGGGGGAGGGGGACGAGGACGAGGACGAGGAGGAGGAGGAGGAGGAGGAGAAGGAGAAGGAGAAGGAGAAGGAGGAGGACGGAGGAGCCCCAGGGGGGGTCACAACGCAGGGTGTTCCGATTGATCTGATTCGACACCTATTCAGACCAGCCCGATTCGAGTCGATTCTGGTTTTCCGACAGTCCGATACGGGCCGATGCTTGCATGGCGTTGATGTGCATCCTGGCTCGGCCGATCCGATTCGATTCCGACTCCGTGCCGATGAGGATCGATTCGATGCACGTTCCGATCCGATCTTGCTTCCCAATTCGATGATGACTGGTCTTGGAAGAGGAGGCAACGGCAAGGAATCCAGGGGCGCAACGCGGGAGTGTTAATGGACGGGGGAGGATAAAAAGCTTGGAGGCGTGTGAAGACGAATTCGCTTCCTTCACCTAAGGTATGCTGAAAACGAGCACTCGTACCAGACACCCCTCAGACTCTGTCAGATACGTTCGGAGATGTCGGCGCCCATCGGGGACCCAGGCGCCCAGGGTCCTTTGGCTCCACCTCGCGTGCCTCCAGCCCCTTGTTCTGGCAAGCGGTCACAGAGGTGGTGGCGTTGCGCCGCCTGTCTGCGATCCCCACGTCAGGCCCGGCCTCTACCAGGAGCTCTGCGCACAGAGGTCGTGTAACAAACATGCTCGGCGCGTCGCGGGCAGCCGCGGCCACAGGCTTCATGCTGGCCAGCGGAGCAGCCCAGAGGAGCAGCGTTGCTGCTAAATGTACTGCAGCCAGTGTGGCTGTGACGCTGAACCATGTCGGGCTATGTTTGTTTGGCAGCGCCGCGAAACAGCGCGCGGCAGCTGCGCCACGAACAGCCAGAGGTGGGTCAGCAGGGGCTCAATCGCAAGAATTCCGAGCGCGGTGCCTCGGTAGGACCTCGATCGGATCCTTGTTCCAAGAGGTATCGCTTCCTAGGGTGTGCTGGCGGGCAGATTACCTTCGGGCGGCATTGGCCGCCGTGTTCCTGGCGTGCTTGCAGTGCAGCGCCCCAGGAGACGTAGCGGATATCCGCCGTGCGTGTGGAGGACAGGATGTCGGTGGCGGCGTTGCAATTCTGCCATGGTGAGGAGGTCTTCGTGTGCATTGTTGGTAGGGCGAGTGCAGCTTTCACGCCGTAGGCGCAGGCGCTACGGGGCTACTCTGGCCGCGACGCGAGAGCGCGCACGGCAGCTGCGCTGCGGGCAGACCTCCACGTGCAGTGCGTACCACCTCGCCGATGTGAACTTGTCCGCTGCGGCACTAAGTCACGTCAGCGGTTCGGGGTTGCAACGCCCTGCAATTGCAGGGGTGACAGCGGTGCTTCCATGTGTGTCTTCACCGACTCTTAGCCCTCGGGTCAGTTCAACCCCTGCCGCGACACTCCAAGCAAAAGCTGTATGGCGTTCCTGCTTCGCTCTCGCCATCCTTCCCCTCATCACCTCCCTGCCTCCATTCATATCGTCATGAATATGTGTCCTCTCCCCGCCACTTCGAAACAGTTCCGCCTCCAGCATTTCTGCGTCCTTTGCCTCCGCCGTCTTCTCCTCCTCTTCCTCCTCCTCCTCCTCATCCTTCCTCCTCATTCCTCAGCTTCCCTCTTACCTCTCTTCATCCCCTTCCCCTGCCCTCATCCATATCCCCCTCGTCCGCCCTCACACGCAGTGCTCTCGTCAGGAGATTACGGCGGGAACCACGCGTACGGCTGCGGCCTCGATTGGGGCAGCGCGCGCGAGTGGGATGGCAGGCCTTGGGGCCGACTTCTATCAGAGGATAGATGATCACAATGGTAGTAACACATCGTATTGCGATGGTCTTGTGATACACAACGCTTCACGAAAACACGGCCGGACAAGAGAGGCCTCACCGGCCATTGCAGATTCGCGAGTTTGCCAGCGTGGCTCCCCGGCACCGGCGCACGTGGGCTTGCGGAGAAAAGCAAAGATTTGCATTGACAGCATGCTCGTCCTATGTATAAGCCCTCGTCGTTTTCAGAATTTCCTCGACGGGGCAGGACCCGGCTTTGGGCTCATGTAAAGGCCTACTGGGCCATCGCGGAGGTCAGGCATTCCGTCTGCTTGGGGCTGTCTTGGGGCAGCATGGGGACCCTCTTGGTCCGTCTTCGAACCCTCGCCAGCGGTCTGCAGCCTCCTGGGGCCCCCTGGAGGTGTGCTGCTGCCTTCTCGGGCCGTCTTGGGTCCCTCGTGGGCCGTCTCGGCCCTTTTGTCGAGCCCTGTTGGGGCCCGTTCCTGCCGTCTTATCACGGTATGTGCGTCCTCTTGAGCCGTCTTACACGTTTGGAAGGCCGATGCGGCGAGCACGCCAAGCGTTCACAAGAAAGCACCAGGAACATCTAGTGTGCATTTGCCTCTCGGGAGGGCCGTTGGGACTTTATCTTGGGGCCCCTTTGGGCCGTTTTAGTAGCCTCTTGGGCCGTGTTCGTGCCAGTTTGACTGGTTTTGTCCTGTCTTGGGAGTTGTTCCGATGGGTTTTCGTGGGCCGTCTTGGTGCCATGCTGAGCCGTTCAGGCGGATGTCGCGATTGAATGCCATGTGCGGGGAAAAGGTCGGCAGATGTAATGTTGCCCGCTAGGCGGGTTGGGGACGGCAGTCTAGGGAAGGAGGAGGAGGAGCAGGAGGTGGAGGAGGATGAGGAGGAGTGGGGTGGATAGCAGGATAGGGGGGAGGAACAGGAGGAGGAGGAGGAGGAGGAGGATGAGGAGGAAGAAAGAGGCCGAGCTACATGCGAAGAGGAGTAGGGGGCGGAGGAGGATGGTGACAAAGAGGGTGGAGAGGAGGAGAAGGAGGAGGAGAGCACAGGGACGTAGCAGGGAGTGTGAGGACGGGCCCTCGTGGACGGCCTCAAGACCATAATATCACTAGACGAAGGGGGATGATGCTAGATGGTCATGGTGATGGTTATGATGGTGCTGATCATGATGGCGGCGACGATGACCCATACATTTGGTAGTTCCACGGCAACCCCGCACCGTGCTTGTGCAACAGAGCGGTAGGGAAGGGACGGACGAGGAGGAGGGGGAGGAGGATCAGGAGGAGAGGGAAAAAATTAAGACAATGAGGAGAAGGCCTCTTAGGGGCTCTCTTTGGGCCTCCTGTCAGACTCCTGGGAGCCTCATGGGAGCCTCCTAAGTGCCTCTTGGGAGCCTCTTGGGGCTCACACAGCGATGCTGCGCCAAGGGGAAAGATGAGCTAATGGGGGTCCCATGCTCAATTCTGGCAGACACGGAAGCCGATGTCCGAGAGCGCCTGTGTCAACGCGCATGGCGTCACAATGAAAATCTACCACGAGGGTGCCGCGGACGAGCGGTTGGGCGCTGTCCCGAAAAAGGCCGCGGACACTTGCTACCCATGGGGTGCTTGCGCCGCAGGGCTACACGACAGCCCGGCAGCACGCGGAGGAGATGCGCCCGCTCCTGCCCACTTCTGGACAGAAGGTCGTCGGCGATTGCCCGGACGTGAACTGATGGGCTCGCGACAGGCAGGTCGCACTGCAGGGTCCGGCTTGAAGAAGGAAGACTTACTTCTCAAAAGGGGCTCGGTCGTTCCTTTGGCTTGCATGCGCTCCCCTACCTTTTTGGCGGCGAGCCCCCCTGATGTTCCCTCGGACTTCGTAGACTTATTTGGAACGAAACGGGCTTCGCTCCTTATTTATCGTTCCTTCGGGCAGGCCGAATTCTGTACGGCCAGGCAGGGAAAGACTCATCTTCCGCCATCATCATGTGTTGGCCGACTGGCAAGCTGTGCGCTCGCCGTCATTCGGTCGCTGGTCCTTGCAACCCAAACCGCGCGCAGTGGCTCAAGCGCAGGCCTCGGGGCGTGAGTGGAGCAGTTTGCGAGCTGGTTCCGCAAGTACGGTTCAGTCCTCAACGAGCCCGGGCGCTTGCGGCACCGTTTCCTTGCTCTGGCGCTTCTCAAGAAACGCAATGTCGAGGCGGCGGGGGCCCCGCCGAGTGCCTTGCCCGCGCGGGGACGCCCTCGTGGCTGGCAAGACCTCTGCCAGCGACTCTTTCTCCTGACGTGGGCGTGGGGCGGTCGGTCGCCGTGCGGTGCGCGGCCAAGGTGCCGCTAGAATCAGCGCCAGCGGGTTAGCGGGGTTCGCGGCCAGACGGGCGGTTTACGTTAGAGTTCACGCACGCGGTGCCGGAGGCGACCCATCATCGGTTCCGGCCAACAGAAGGGGCGGGCAGGTTCGAGGTTTGGGGTTCCAGAAGATTTTTGTGTTTTTTTGTTCGGCCTCCGGGTGCCGTTTTCAGATCCCGGGACTGAACACTGGATCTGGGGCGAAAGACTGCACCAGATGGACCCTGGGAAGGGTTCAGGGATTGATTTTGAGCGGATTTGGCATCATCCCCCCTCCTGGTCGGTTTTCTCGGGCCCCAACCAGTTCAGACCCCCAGCCGTCTCCAAACGCAGCGCGCTCACTGAGCCATATGGCCAGTTCTGGCAGACACGGAAACCGATGTCCGAGAGCGCCGGTGTCAACGGGCGCGGCGTCACATTGAAAATCTCCCACGATGGGGACGAACGGTTCCGCGCTGCCCCGAAAGACCCCGCGAACAATTGCTACCCGGGGGTGCCAGCGTCGCTTGAACACAAGCCAGCCCGACAGCACGAGGAGTAGAGACGCCGGCGACTACCCGGATGTGAACTTCGGTGCGCGCGGCAGGGATGGATCATGCTACGGCGTGGCAGCGCAAGACCCGTTTTCCGCCAACATAAAGCACAGGCCGACTGACCAGCTGCGCGCCTGACGTCTCTCCGATTTGCACCACCAACCGCGCGCAGCGGCTCAAGCGCAGGCGTGGCTTGGTTCCGCAAGTACGCTTCTGTCCTCAACGAGATGAGGCGTTTGCGGAGCCGTGTCCTGGTATCAAGGAGCGCATTCTCAACGCGGCGAGGAACCCGCCGACGATCACCCTCCGCGCATTGGCGTCTTCAAGGTGAGCAAGGCGTCAATCGGCCCCTCTTGCTCCTGACGCGGGCGGTCGGTCGCCGTGGCGTGCGCGGCCAGACTGCCGCCAGAATCAGTACTGCCAGCGGGTTAAAACTTAGCGGGGTTCGCGACCAGCACAGTACTACATTACACCTGAGAAAACCCAATCATTGGATGATTTGAAAACTGATATTATGGATCATGAGATCGATTGTGAGGTCGATAATGAGATCGATAGTGGAATCGATAGTGAGGACGATTTAAGGTCGATCGTGAGACCGAGAGTGAAATCGATTCAATGAAATCGATAGTGAGATCGGTCGCGAGATCGCTCATGCGATCTCTAGTGAGATTGATAGTGATATCGATAGTGAGACCGATGGTGAGATCGATCGAGAAGTCGGTAATGAGATCGATGGTGAGACCGATTGATAAGAAGATCGACCAGAAACCTGGGAACCCGGGAACCTCCTCGCCGCCCTCCGAAATCACAATACCGCAATTCCGCCTGACGCTGTCCGGGCGCCCGGGCTGCCCGGGCGTCCGGGCGGCTGGGCGCCCGGGCGTCCGGGCCGCCTGGGCGTTCGGGCGCCGGGCGCTCTGGGCGTCCGGGCGGCCCGGGCGGCCCGGGCGTCCAGGCGGCAGGGCGGCTGGGCGCCGTCCGGGCATCCCGGCACCCGGGCGTCCGGGGCGCCCGAGCGGCCGCGGCGTCTGGGCGGCTGGAGGCCCGGGCGTCCGGGGCGCCCGGGCGGCCGCGGCGTCCGGGCGGCTGGGCGCCCGGGCGCCTGGGCCGCCCCGGCATTCGGGCGCCGCGCGCTCTGGGCGTCCGGGCGGCCCGGGCGGCCCGGGCGTCCGGGCGGCTGGGCGCCGTCCGGGCATCCCGGCGCCCGGGCGTCGTGGGCGCCCGGGCGGCCCGGACGTCCGGGCGGCTGGGCGCCGGGGCGCGTTGGCCGCCCGGGCATCCGGGCGCCGGGCGCTCTGGGCGCCCGGGCGGCCCGGGCGTCCGGGCGGCTGGGCGGCTGGGCGCCATCCGGGCATCCCGGCGTCCCGGGCGTCCGGCGCCCGGGCGGCCGCGGCGTCCGGGTGGCTGGGCGCCCGGGCGTCCGGGCCGCCCGGGCGTTCGGGCGCCGGGCGCTCTGCGTCCGGGCGGCCCGGGCGTCCAGGCGGCGGCGGCTGGGCGCCGTCCGGGCATCCCGGCGTCCGGGCGTCCGGGGCGCCCGGGCGGCCGCGGCGTCCGGGCGTCTGGGCGGCTGGGCGCCCGGGCGCCCGGCCGCCTGGGCGCCCGTGCGCCGGGCGCCACGGGCGCCCATGGGCCTCCCGGCGTCCGGGCGTCCAGGCGCCCGCCCGGACCCCGTCTCGCTTTGTCTTGCAATTAATGATGTTTTTGCAATGAATACAACAGTTCCACCCGCCTGCCCCCTTGACATCCCACGTGCCTTTTTTGCCCCCGCTCATCTTGGATGACAGCCAAATTTGCACCTCATGAAGAAATCGGGTCTGACTTGGAAGCCGCGATCAAAAGTCCATTGCCCGGGCGAAAAAACATACGAAGTATCTCGCGCATCAAATTGCTAACATCTCCCCGTATGTCGCGCACTGTGTTCACGCGAAGATATCCAAAGGGACAAGTTCCACACTGCCGCATTCTCAGCTTGGGTATTCCAGAAATGTCCAGTATACTGCCTCCGTCCCTCCTCCTTCATCGGGCCTTTTGATATTCCCCACAGTGGCTTCGTCTGAGTACAGAATTAAGGAAAGGTGATCGCGAGTGTGCTGCGACATTGACTTCCTGAG